TTTGTTCTCGTTATGATTTGACACAAATGGAACACCAGAGCCTGCTGCTTAGCCAGCCGGGAACCTGGCAGTGGACACGGCCTCGGCCAAGAGCACTTAATGGCTAAAAAAGGAAATAGCTTTCTATATGTGAATTCCGGCCAAATGGTGGCAGATGCTGAAAGTCTGGGAATCCTGACCACTGTGGGCGGAGGGCCCAGATGTGATCATTAATTCTGGGAGCAGTGTGTGCAAGAGGTGGCCAGCCACTGAGCCTGGCCTCTCCTGGGAAGCAGGGAAAGCCCTGCCTGGGGGGTAAGAGGCTGGGGTCTCTGGTCACAGGCTTGTCACCAGCTGTCAGTCCTAGAAGCTCTTTGATTTTCTTTCCCTTTCACAGACAGAGAAAATGTAGGCTTTGGGTCCAGGCTCAAGTGCCTTAGGCAGTCTCTGCTAGTTGTGTGACTTGGTACAAGCTTCTTAACCTCCGAGCCTCAGTTTTTCCATCTGTGCAATGGGGTAATACTTCTTTCCTAGCAAGGCTAACTGTAAGGGTTAGAAAATACAGTTGTACAGCGCTTCCCATGTGAAAAGCACTTAACTTAGTGGTACCTGTTCTTACCTAACTACCCTTGACCCTCATCTTCATCTGGTGTAAAAATAAGGGGTTGAGTTTTTATTGATCTCTAGATTTCAGCTCTACTGTACTGTGAGTCTAAGACAAGGTGGTGGGAATAATAAGGAAATGTAGTAATCATTTCATAAATATAATTTCCATTAGTAATTGTATAGCTTCTAATCCACCCCTCCGAGGACAATTAATAAAGACCTCTCAGTATTTAATTGTAATTGAATAGCTTTATTTGCCATCCTCTCCCACCCACTCCTTATAAATATTTTTTCTTCCAACATTTGAAGGAGAAAAAGTACTTAGCTTAGCGTAATCCTCTTTCTCCACTTTGCCTGCTCCTTCCCCCGTCCTTGGCCGTGGAATAACTGTCTGCCAGTGCGGTGTCTCTGAGAGGACCCCTCTGTCCGTGCTGGAACTAAATCTTTAGATAGAAAGAGGAGTTAATTATCTGCTATTGGCCAGAGTAGGAGGCAAACTGAAGTGACACGTTGTCTCAGCCATCTGTCTCTCCTTTCTCTCATCTCCATCTCCCTCTCCTCTCCATGGTGGTCAACGTTCTGACAGAATTGCCCCAACCACTTACAAATCAATTCTGACTGTGACTCACAAACATCCCGAGGCAGTCCTTCCAGGCAAAGTGGCGAGCCTTCTGTAAGGATTTGTAAGAAAGGAACTTCAGGTGATTTGGATAGTTCAGCAGGGTTGTTAAGACAGGAGCGTTCATGCTGGATTAGACAAGAGCTGGGTTTGAAGTCAGCTCTGAATAGCAGTGCTCAATTCATCCTCTTCGAGCCCTCTGCAAAGGGGACGGGATTCCTCACTGCCTCATGTGTTTGAGAGAATCCAATGAGGAAAACATATAGGAAGAAACTTGCAAGCACCTTGTATGTAGACAGGTCTCAATGAGTGTTAGCTTATTTTATTATTACTGTTACTATTATTATTACTATTACTATTACTACCTAGATTCAAATCCTCTTTTTGGGCAGCTCTGGGTTCACTAGATAAGGGAGCTGAGACTCTCCAATGATAATGGGGATCCCTGAGGTCTCTGAGGACCAAGACCACTTTCTCGTGTCATTCTCCCTGGACGTTCATTTCGGGGAGAAACTACTAGAATGAGGGGAAATCTGGAAAAGGCACATGGATGATTAAGTACAGAAAAGTTCTGAGATGGCGGTTCTATCTGGCACTGTACAAGCCACCTCTGATGTCTGACACAGCCCGGCGGCCCCACAAACACTTTCTGAACTAAAGGCTCTGACGTGATGCTGTGTCTACGGCCTCCACATAGGGAGGTCCTTTGAGTCTATTTTATAACAGAATTCTCTCAATTGGGAAGCGAGTCAACCCTGCCCCGTGGCACCTGCCACCATACAGTGAGCTGGCTTACACCGTGGAGCCGGGGGCTGTGTCTGGGACTATGAATAGCAGCCTTTGTGGGGAACCAGAGATCGGTCAGATAGCGTCCAGAACGTGCGTCACTGTCTAGAATTAGACTCAGACTCCGAGGAGTGGTCTTCACGTGTAACTTTGACAAACTCGGGTGAGCTCCCCAGGGACCCGGGGGAGGAGGCAGAGAAGGAGTGGTCCCTGCGGATGGCGTCTCTGCTGCAGACACCCGGCCCTCACCCACCCCGACCAGCAGAGGGCTCTCCCAGGGGCAGAAGAAAGGCGCAGTGACCTGTCTCCTTGATGCCCTGGCCCCCACAGTCACTGTGGAGATGCCTCTGAACCACGTTCCCAGAGAGACCCCTCTGCTGTCGTGAGGTGTTTAGAGGAACCCAAACACGGCCATTCATGAACTGTTGCTGTTTTTTAAAAGTACACTCATCGACTCTCAGGTGTGAGGCTCAACGTTAAGCAATAAGGGGAATAAAGAGGGAGGGGATTTCAGGAGCAGGATGAGATGAAGAACAAACACGGGGCTTGTCTTGAAGGGGATTCGGGTTGAGCTGGAGAGAGAATACACAGCCAGTAGAGCAAATAATTCACTTTGTAAAACTGAACTGAGTTATTCTTTTCATTAGTCCCCTCAGCACCCCACCGGTGCAAGCCACATCCAGGGAGCGTCAGAAATGTTGGCTTGACTGCATGGAAGTTGACGCCCAGGCCTTCCTACCACTACATGGCAGAGCCCTGTCTCACTCACTCGCTGCCGAGGGTGAGCAGGAGCTTTTGAAGTTCCAACGTGGGAGGCCTAAGAGCTGATGGGCTTTGTCCTTAGAGGGAAGATGGAGGGACACTTTCTGGAGTGCACCGACTGGATCAGAAACACTGGAATGAAGTCCTGGGTCTGTTCTCATTAGCCTTTGTTTCTTTGAACTTGTCTTATCTTTTCTACATGTCTCCTCCTTTGCAAAACCATCACTGCCCACAAAGTGGTTATGAGGCGTCCCCATTCAATAATAAAAATTGAGCCCAGCAGGCATGGCTCAGTGGTTAAGCATCAACCTATGAACCAGGAGGTCAATTCCCCCTCAGAGCACATGCCTGGGTTGTGGGCTCCATCCCCAGTGTGAGGTGTGCAGGAGGCAGCCGATCAATGATTCTCTCTCGTCATTCATGTTTCTATCCCTCTCACCCTCTCCCTTCCTCTCTGAAATCAATAAAAACATTTAAAGAAATATTTATCATGTACCTAATGCAATAAGTATACAAAGTAGAAGACAGGGAGTTGTACTTTTGAGAAATTTGCCAATTTGAGGGGAAAAGCTTTTCCATTGTTGAGGGCAGAAATCATGCCTAGTTTTATTAATTCTATAGCTATCATTGAATCTATTATGTGGCAGGCCTGGTACTTCTTAGGTATTATTTTCAGTACCTGGAACAGTGATTGACACATAGTAGGAACTCCAGAAAGTACTTTCGAATTGGCTGATAGCAAGAAACTTTTGGAGAACAAGTGTAAGGCAGCATATAACTAAGCCTGAGAATGTACCCTACTTGCTGGGTGGTAATTTAGTCTTCAGAGTTCAGGAGACATCAGAGAGGGCTGAGGTCAACTTGAGGAGTCTTCTCCATTGTCTACTTAGACGTGTGGGGTCAGAGGAAGAGGTCCTGATGAGTGTATGCTAACCTGGATTGCTCTAAAATGATTTTTTTTTTGGAAACATTGGCTGCACAGGGAGGCAACAGTGCTAACATGAGGAGGAGCACTGAGCTGGAAACGAAGATACCTTCGATACCAGAACGTTCTTTCTTGCCATGTATTGCATGAAGTAAGGTTACAAAATGATTCATGTTCACAATACACCAAAGCCTTCATTGGCCTTTTCCATCTTATCCAAGAGTCATGTCTTGTTACCAAACAAGTCCTCTGTGGATTCCTCCAAAACTTTTGCTTTGTCCCAAGCTATGACACATGGAAAGAGGATGTGGAAGGTTTAGTAGTGAAGAACCTTCAGAGCTGGGATGCTCTTGTCCAGTTTCTAGGGACCACCTCCTCTTGGCTGGGTCGCTTCAGAGGTGGTATGGGCTGCAAAGGGCTGTAGAACTCGGTTTTCCAGAGCTCTCTGCCGGGCCCTGCTCTAAGGAGGCCCTCCTCAACCCCCTGACCTAGAGTTAGCCTCCCGCCATATATTCCTGTACTGCCCTGTACTTCCTTAATAGCAACACATCACATTTTACTGCAGTTATGGGTTTAATTTCTCCACCTCATGAAGGAAAATAAGGGCAGGCAAGCTCAGAAAAGACAGGGAGTCCTTGTTTGTCTTTTATTGCTGTTGTTTGTTTGTTTATTCAAATGTATCTTTATTGTTTTTTTTAATGTATTTTTATTGATTTTTTACAGAGAGGAAGGGAGAGAGATAGAGAGTTAGAAACATCGATGAGAGAGAAACATTGATCAGCTGCCTCCTGCACACTCCCCCCTGGGGATGTGCCCTCAACCAAGGTACATGCCATTGACCGGAATCGAACCTGAGACCCTCCAGTTTGCAGCCAATGCTCTATCCACTGAGCCAAACCAATTAGGGCTCAAGAGTATCTTTATTGTTGAAAGTATGGTGCATGTCCCCTTTTTTCCTCATTGACCCCCTCCAACACCTCCCCTCCCCCCCAGGCCTTTCCAAGCTTCTTGGGCTAAGGTTGTGGGAGAGCCAAAGGGGACTTAGTGTAGTTAGAAAACTGACTTCAGTCGGTGATCTTTCACTTTATAAACTGAGCAGCTGGTACGTGGTAACAATTTTAAGTTTTTCTGACCTTGCCTGAGTCACTCAGGAAGTCACAAACCAGAGGTCTTTCACCCTGTTTGCTGCCACCAAGGCCTTGTGGGGTAGCCCCACCCCACGCCGCCCTGGCCAGTTTTCTCTTATTGTTTCCTGAGGAGCCATCATTTCCAACCCTGCCTTTCTGAGATTCCATGATGTTCCCTTCTGTCCCTGCTTCACTCCTTCCGGGTGACCCACCAAGTCTGCAACAAAGACTATTGGCAGACCAAACCAGAGCATCACATTCTTTGCCTGAAACTATTTTACACTTCCCTGGGGACTTGCAAGGAATAAGTGACAGAGTCGGAAGATCAGAGAAAAAGTCTTCGGGGCCTGAGGAAGTTTGTAAAACGTGCCCCAAATCCTGCAAGTGTACGACATTTGTTTCTTCCTTTCTTTTCACTCACTTTGTATTTGCATCTGTTTTCCTCCCCCCTCCTCCCTTCTGCTTTCCCCTCTGTTTCTCTCTTCTTCTTCTTTGTAATTTTTCTACTTGCTCTTTCTCTTTTTTCCCCCCCCCCCATTATTGTTCTTCCCCACCACTGTCCTTGCTGGTAATGGCTGCCTTTTATTCAGTCCTTACATACTGAGCAATATGCTGAGTGCTCTGTACCCACCACCTCATAATGCTCTTTGAGATAATGTACCATTTTGCAGGTGAGGTTATTGAGACACAAACCCAATTACTTCTCCAAGCTCAGCAGATAACAGGGATTTGAGTTCCAATTAGCTAACCCCCAAGCCACCTTCTCTTAATCGATACATGGTATGTTTTTCTCCATTTCCAACTCCCCCTCGTCTTTTACCTCTTTTCATTCCTCCTCGTGCTCTTCATCCTCTCTCCTTCTCTCCCACCCCCTTCTCTTCCTCACCACATCCTGGTCCCCACACTTGTGTGCCTGACCCTGAAGGTGCTGAGCACTGTGCACGTGCCCAGAGAGATGACAGCCCGTTTAAACTCTTATCTAATCGGGCATTTTCCTTCTGAGCAAACGCTTCACGTTTTCCCACATTGTCTGATCCAAACCAGAGGAAAGGCCTCAAGACCAGGCTGGGCCTTTGATATGGAGAGGAAGAGAGATAAGGCCCTTTCCGCTCAGCATGGATTCCCTCATTCCCAGAGACTATGTGCTCTCAGGGCTGGGGAACGTGAAGGGAGGTAAGAGGTATTGGTGGATCTCTATCAAGGAATCAGCTCAGGAGCCAAAGAAACCCGGGCCATGAAATGTGGCACTTCCACCCACTCCTTCCTCACATGTATAAAGACCGGGGCATACTGGCAGCAAAAATGTGAAGATCAAGGTTTGAGCTTGACAATCTGTTTTTTTTTAATTTTTTAAAAAAATATATATTTTATTGATTTTATTCAGAGAGGAAGAGAGAGGGATAGAGAGCTAGAAACATTGATGAGAGAGAATCATCGATCAGCTGCCTCTTGCACACCCCCTACTGGGGATGTGCCTGCAACCAAGGTACATGCCCTTGACCGGAGTCGAACCCGGGACCCTTCAGTTCCCAAGCCAACGCTCTATCCACTGAGCCAAACTGGTCTCGCCAGAGCTTGACAATCTTTAATGCCACATCAGAGTCTGAGGTTTTATGATTCTAAGAATATTCCTCCTCTCTCCTATCCTCCCCTCACTTTCTTTTCCTTTTGTCATTTGGTTGATTAGAATTGGTTAGAAACTTGCCCTGCCTGGTATGGCTCAGTTGGTTGAACATCATCCCATGCACCAAAGGCCACTGGTTTGATTCCTGGTCAGGGCACATATCTGGGTTGTGGGTTCAATTTCTGACCAGAGTACATGTGAGAGTCAACTGGTCCATGTTTCTCTCTCACATCAACATTTCTTTCTCTCTCACATCAACCTTTCTCTCTCTCTCTCTCTCTCTCTCTCTCTCTCTCTCTCTCTCTCTCTCTCCCCTTCTCCCTCTCCCTTCCTCTCTCTAAACAAATATTTAAAAATCAATGAATATATACAGAGAATTGATTAGAAGCTTAAGCCATAGGACATTTATTGTTCATCAATAAGAATTCTAGAGGTAGGAGATTCAGTGGTTTCAGAGGCCTCAGGGCACTATCTGCTATTTCTGAGATCCTCTGGGCAACTTCAGACATCTTGGCTCACACAGCCCTGTCCACGGGCAGGAAGGGGTGGGGGTAGGGAGGACTTCTTCAGAGGCTCCCTCCGTTTACTGAGGGTTGGAAAAACATTTCCTAGAGCATTCCCTCCACATCGGTCTCTCGCCACCCCTCAATGACCTGAACTAGATGCAGTGGAGACTGAAAAAGTGACCTCTGCCCTTTCACCCTACTGATGGGACCAAGGAAAGGAATAGGGACTGAGATCGCCTCTGGGTAGGAAACACCAGTGCTTGAAACCCCTTTCTTAATTCACTCAACAAAAATATACTAAGTGATAGATTAAATAGAGAAGGTAGCCGGAGACAGGGATGGCTACCTTTATTGGAGAGAAGGGTACCCCTGCTGGCTGCTTCCAGAGAAAGGGGGTGGAAGAGAGCGAGGCTGGGGTACAAGCACCTTTAAGGATAGGGGGCAAGGCTTAGGGCACTCAGCACACACTGATTGGTGATTAAGGACCTAGGGACTTAGGAATCAGGGGCTTAGGGTATTGGCAGGTGCTGATTGGTGGTTCAGAGCTCAGGAATGTCTGGCCACAGGTGGGGTTTACGTCTGTCCATCAACTGGAGGAAGAGAGGATCTATCACTAAGCACCCACTCTAGGCCAGGCTCTGGGTCAGGTGATGGTGATACAGAGGAAAAGACAGTCCCTGGTCTCCATGAACCCTGACTGGAAGAACACAGCCAAACAAGGATTACAAAACAAGACGGCAAGTGTAGGGGAGGAGTGAGTGTCCCCAGGGCCACCGAAGGAGCTGAAGAGGCTCAGCCTGAGAGAGCAGAGAGGGTAGAAGCAGCCACGGCTGGGTCAATTCTGAAGGGTACATGGGATTCAGCTGGGATGGAGGGGGGCTATCGGAGGTGGTTTGGAGGAGGACATCTGGGAATCTTTCCGACTTGGCATGGTGGGATAAAGGCAACTAAAAGGGACAGGCAGGAAATGAGGTTGAGAAGCAAGCAGGGGCCTAACGAGGGAAGGTTTTGTATGGGACATAAGGGATTGGGGCCTTAATCTAGATGTGAGCGTGAGCAGGTCAGAAACTGGTGGGTGGGTACCTTCTGTGTGTGTGTGCAGGAGGCCAAGCCAAGCTGTACAGCTGCAATGGCGCTGAGGTGCAGGAGACCCACACTGCCCACTGCTTGCAGCTGGGGAACCTGAGCAGTCATCTGTGATACCTACCTGGTGTGACCCAAGACGTTTTATTCGCTACCGCCCAATACACCTGGTCCATACTGGATGGTTCTGATGATTAGAGAATGTTTCCTGAGGGGGGCTGCATTTGGCACTTGCTCTTTTCTCCTCCACCTAATCCTGCCCTCTGGAAACATAAAAGTTTTGTTTTCCACCTAACAGCCATTCAAACACATTTGTGGTATTTCAACATATCACATTGTTGGGTACACAGGTCCTAATCTTGCCCAACTCAGCCAGCTGTTGGGTCCAAGCCCCTCTGCGAGGGACTGGACCTCCTTAGATGCCAGGTGGTAGATGGAGAAGGTATAAGAAGTCATGGATATATAACAGTCTTCATTACAGGCCAAATAGCCATTGCTTACAAGGAGCCCTTAGACAAAACAGCTCTTCAAAGTAGAATCCCATAGGCAGGCAGCTGCACATTGACTGACTCATAAATACATCTTTCCCATAAAGTAGCCTCCAACATAAGAGCTACACAAGAGCTATTATTAGAGCTACGGCCTCAGGCTAGGGGCTAATCCAGGAGCCTCACATAGTAGCAGCTGAATACTGCCGGTTGGTCAGTGGCAACTTATATACAAGCACAAACAAACTTAAGCGTAAGAAGCTTTATGCCAAATAGTGACCTGAATATTATTTGAATTACAGAAGGGTACGCTGGCACAGTGCAGAGATTGCTACATCCTTGCTTTTGCACCTACATATAGCAATTTAACCTTGAACATTCTGATTAAGATCCCCACTCTCAGAGTGGCCTTGAACATCCGGGGTGTAGCTCTGGTGTAACTCTTGCCATCCCCATTTCAGAGGCAAGGAACAGACTCAGAGAGTTTGTGCCAAGTCACATTTTCATATTTGCAAGACTCCGGGTCTTGTTCTTGGCCAGACTGCCTCAGAATCACCTGGTCTGCATATCGCAAATCCAGATTTGGGGGGAGGGGGGAAGACTCCAGACCCACTGAAGTAGAATCTCTGGGGGAAAGAGCACAACATCCACGTTGTAACACACATCTCAGTTCATTTCTAGATCCATTGGAGTGTGGGAACCATGCTCTGGTCATGCTACTCTAACCACTTCTCATCTCTTTCTTTGTATTTTGCTGGGGGGAGAGAAGAGAGCCGGGGGGAAGAGAGCTTTTTAGCTCTCTTTGAATTTGACGTATTCCTTGCACATTCTTAGAGCACGCAACTGGTATGCATCAGTGGCCTCCCAGGGCAGGACTGGAGCTCCCAGACTTTGGCGGAAGCACCCTACTCCTCTTCTGCCCCTCTTTGCAGGTGTCTGCCCTCTGCTGAGCCACCATGAGCGACTGGAGCTTCCTGAGAGAGTTCCTGGAGGAGGTGCACAAGCACTCCACAGTGATCGGCAAGGTCTGGCTCACGGTGCTCTTCATCTTCCGCATGCTGGTGCTGGGCACGGCGGCCGAGTCCTCCTGGGGCGATGAGAAGGCCGACTTCCAGTGCGACACCATGCAGCCGGGCTGCGAGAACGTGTGCTACGACCAGGCCTTCCCCATCTCGCACATCCGCTACTGGGTGCTGCAGATCATCTTCGTGTCCACGCCGTCGCTCGTGTACATGGGCCACGCCATCCACACGGTGCGCACGCAGGAGAAGCGCCGGCTGCGCGAGGCCGCCCACGGGGCCGGGGAGGGCCAGGCCGCCGGCCCCTACGGGTACCCGGCGGCCGAGAAGACGGAGCTGTCCTGCTGGGAGGAGGCCAACGGGAAGGTCGTCCTCCGGGGCACGCTGCTCAACACCTACGTGTGCAGCATCCTGATCCGCACCACCATGGAGGTGGCCTTCATCGTGGGCCAGTACCTGCTCTACGGGATCTTCCTGGACACGCTGCACGTCTGCCGCCGCAGCCCCTGCCCGCACGCCGTCAACTGCTACGTGTCGCGGCCCACGGAGAAGAACGTGTTCATCGTGTTCATGTTGGCCGTGGCCGGGCTGTCCCTCTTCCTCAGCCTGGTCGAGCTCTACCACCTGGCCTGGAAGAAGCTCAGGCCGCGGCTGGCCCACGCGGGGCAGGGCAGGGCCGAGTGCCAGCTGCCCGGCCCCTCCGCGGGCGAGGCCCCGGGCTGCACGCCGCCCCCCGACTTCAGCCAGTGCCTGGAGAACGGTCCCGGGGGCAAGTTCTTCAGCCCCTTCAGCAATAGGATGGCCTCCCAGCAGAACACAGACAACCTGGCCGCCGAGCAGGTGCACGGCCAGGAGCAGATGCCCGGGGAGGGCTTCCTTCACATCCTCTACGCCCAGAAGCCCAAGGTGCCCAACGGCAGTGGCTCCCCGGGGCATGGCCTCCCCCAGGGCTACCAGAGGGACAAGCGCCGGCTCAGCAAGGCCAGCAGCAAGGCCAGGTCAGACGACCTCTCGGTGTGACCCGCCCGTGTGGGGGGCCAGGACCAGGTGGGGACCACGGGGGCTCGGAGAAGGAAGAGGGGTTCTTCCGACCCCACCTGTCCCTTCTCATCACCGCTCTGCTCCTTTTGGGCCAGGGCTGTCCGAGAACTAGCCAGGCCTCTGTCTCTTCCCCATCCTCTGCCCGGTTCCCTCAGTGGACACTCTCAGGTTACCGTGCTCGCTGAACAGGGGGGCGTAAGGGAAGGGAACCTAGCCAGAGAGGCAGGCTAATTCTCTCCATACCAGCCACACGCCAGAGGGTCCTCCCCGTCTCTGTGGCTCCTGTGAACTGAGTGCCCTTCCTCCTGCAAGGAAGGCCCCGGAGCTGCCAGCCAGGAAAGAGCATGAGCCACGGAACTTGCATGAGGAGCGCTCTCGAATCTGTGGTTTCCACGGGCCACGCCGTGGAGGCAGTGAGGTTGCCAGGGGCCCCCTCAGCTGCCACTGCCTCTGCCTCTGCCCAGTCTTACCTAAAAAGAGGTCCTTGGAGCTTGCCCAGTCGCCTCGACTTTACAAGTGCCTTGGAATGTCTGCCTGGCAAATGTCTCCCCTTTGCTGGGCCAGGGGGTGCACGCTCCCCCCTGGAGCCGCTGTGCACAGACCCGCTGGAATTCCTGTAACCACCTGTCCTGTCCCTCCTTACAGGTCAGCCCGATGACAGAAACCCTCCCCTCCAGGCCACCCGTGGCTGCTCCCCCAGCGCTCCCCTAAAGGCCTGACCAACCAGCGGGCCGGGGAGCCATCGTCCTCGCTCAGATCCCGACCAGATCCCCAGCCACAGAGGCCAGGGGAATCTCCCCAGGTCTGATTAAAACAACAAGAACATTGCGCTTCTCAGATGCCCCTTGGGGGGAAAAAAGCAAGTCTGCTGTGAAGATGAAAATTAAAAGAGGAGAGAAAATACTGGAAAATGATTCTTTTTCTTCCTATTTATTTCCCTTGCTGACTGCCAATTAGAGTGCCAGAAGAGGGATGATGACAGCGATGGAAGCCCCCAGATCCTTCTGCCCCTGAGGAGGGCATAGTCATCGAGGGGAAACGCCAGATCTCGTGGCAGGGTTCTCATTTAAGAGCACAGAGATCCCTGTGTCCTGATGAAACCACCAGGAGGCGACTTCCGAGAAGCCCTCTCTGCCCAGGGACTGGCCTGGTTTCTCTATTCAGTCCATCCCTGATGGGTTGCCATTTTGGATGACGGTCAAGGATGCTCAGAATTGGACTCTGAGATGTATAGGGGAATGGTTACTTTTAACAAAGTGTGTGTGTGTGTGTGTGTGTGTGTGTGCACGTGCATGCACGCACACTCATGCACGCTGATGGGGTGGGTGAAGGGAAAAGGAGGTCTGACATGAGGAAAGGAAACCTTGGAGAAACCTGTTCTTTCCCCTCCCCCTCAGGTGCCTCCCAGAGGGGCGAGCCGCATTGTCTTCAGCGTCATCAGCCCAAATGGATGGGCATGAGGGGTTGGGACAGGAGGGTGTGGGCTCAGACGGAGGCTGGGCCCGTAGCTCACCTGGCCATCTCCTGGCCCCTCTGCTGGTGTTTGGAAGCTATTGGTGGGTGCAAAGAAGGCTGATGGCAGAGGGAACTGACTGTGATACACTCTTATCTATTGTCCGGCGCTGGCCTCAAGACTTTCCAAAACAAAGCACAAAAGACGCTCTCTCCTTCCATCTCTGAAATCTTTGTCTTGTGAAATGTGTGTTTTTGATTTAGAGATGCTGTGAGATCAGTTTTTTTGATGATGGGAAAAAGAAAATATCATGTGCCGTTTGTCTTAATAAAGTCTGGCTCTCTGTTTCTCTCTCCTTGTGTCTCTTCCGTGCTGTGACTGCAGGAGAAGGATGGCAGACTTGGTGGGGGAGGGGAGCACGTGGGCCCCACGCACCAGCCGGTCAGTAAAGCCTAGAGCTTTCCAGTCGGACATGCAAGGGTTGAAGTTCCCCCTGCTGACTGACAGCTGGAGTCCAGCAAGCTGCTTGATCTCTGAGCCTTGGTTTCCCCAGCTGTAAACTGAATCTAGTCATTTCTGCCTCATAGGGTGGTTAAGTGAGAAACGTCACAAAGAATTGAGCAGAGTGCCTGGGAAATAATAATCCGGCATTAGGTGGTAACTGTTGGCATGGTTGCTACTATTATCTTTAGGATTTTTGTTATTATGTTGAATATATTGTATTTGAAAATCTGCTATGCTAAGAGATGATCCCAGAACTTCCCTTTGGGAACCTCACAATCTCCCTAAGGTGGTCAAATTAACTCACATAGAGGAAACAATTAGAATAGAATTAAACGGGAATTCACTTATTGTTAATCTAAGAATCACAAGGCTCAAAAAAAAAAAAAATGATACCGATGGAAAAACTGCATAGAAAGGAGAGCCCCTCCTTCCCTGAGCCTTAAAGAGTAGCTGAGGCTTCAGAGGAGCAAAAATCTCAAGTGCGAATAGGCCTTGGTATCGCATCTACTGACATGGAAACTGAGGGTTAAGATTTCTTGGTAGCGGGGCAGCTTTTCGCTGGCCTTTCTGATTGGGACCATATCTTTATGAAAGAGGAGAGATGATTCTTGCCCCAAAAGGGTCAGGAACCACCCTGCCCTTCACCCACAGATGGGTGCCATTTCCTAGAGAAAGAACAGAGGCTGGGAACAACTAGCAGTGCTGTCTGGGCTGCCAGTCAGTCTTGTTTGTCAGGGAAGGAAAACCTTTTTAAAAAGGGTGGCAGAGCCCTAACCGGTTTGGCTCAGTGGATAGAGCGTCGGCCTGCAGACTGAAAGGTCCCAGGGTTGCGGGCACATCCCCAGTGGGGGGTGTGCAGGAGGCAGCTGATCAATGTTTCTCTCTCATCGATGTTTCTGACTATCTCCCTTCCTCTCTGTAAAAACCAATAATATATATATATATATATATATATATATATATATATATATATATATATTTTTTTTTTTTTTTTTTTTTTAAAGGGGTCGGCAGAGAGTACCCATGTGACTCAGTATTGAGACTCTGGTGCAGTGGCCTCTGTCCAAGGGCCAGGCGCCTGCCCAGAGGTGTCATAGTCCAACTGGAAAAAGCATCTGGATCCCCTTTTTCCTCCCAGAAAAAAAAAAGAAAAGAAAAAAAAGAGTGCATCTCGTGGTTTTATAAACATAGCTGTTAACGCTTAACAGTTTACATCACACCCAGACTGCACCCGCCAAGGGACTTGTTTTACAGTGACTTCAACCTCATGTCTCTCCTCTCACCTCCTCTTTCCTCCCCACAACGGTTCACCAATTAAGATGGCAAGCTGAATAATAATATAGTGAACACACTAAATTGTAGGCTCCTTTCCTTACTGTCCTTCCTCCAGCGCCAGGTAAGATCAGCGTGTCTGCCTTGGTGTTTTGTTCCTATGGCTAAAGTGCTCACGTGGTTAAACTGTTACCAACTCTTCTACAAAGAATCACACTAGGAGTGAGTTTCAGACTTCTCCCTAAAAGCAAATCTTGAGGGCAGGGAGGAAAACGAAAGCACAAAGGCACCGGCACCTTGCAGGTGTCTCGAAGGGCCGCTTCCTGGATGCGGAGACCAAGAGAACAGCTGCCCGCCTCCCAGTCCCTGGTAGATCCTGGAAGCCCCCATCGTTGGCCTGAGTATTGCCCTTGACACTGAGCAGACTTTACAAATAATATGTAAGTAGAATAGGATCAGGGGTTTTACTTCTGTTGGTCACTAATGGGCAACAGAAATGGGGATGGTCTATACATTTTTTTATTATCGTTTCAATTGGAAAAGAGAAAGACGCTCATTCCACAAGCATTTATGAGTGCCAAGAAGGAAACAGACAGGGGGCTGGCAAAGGTGGGTGGGCAGGAAGTCCTGTCTGAGGACGCAACACGGATGCCGAGATCTGCCTGTGAGAAGAAGCCAGGCATGAGGAACCCCGATTCCTGCCAGGAGACCCCAGGAGACAGCAGCCCTCACCGCTCTTTGGCCCCTGGAGTGTGGCTCTTCCACAAAATACCACGGCCTGGGGGAGTCTATTTTGAAGAAGTGGCATTAGAAGAAGTTTAAGTTTAAAAAATTTGGCTCTCCAAAGAAATGTCAATCGTTGTGCTGTTGATATTTGGCTCTGCTGACTAATGAGTTTGCCGGCCACTGCCTTAAGCCAAAGGAATGCCCAAGCATGAGCCGCCCAGGCACCCCCTCAGGCACGGTGAGTCGGGGGATGGTTTTGGTGTGGAGCCTTTGGAATGACCCCAGCTGGCACTCACCTCCTTCACCCACATGTAAGGCCAGCACAACCCTGGGGGCCATGGCCTGGAAACATGTCCCTTCAGCTTAGCTGACCTTTCTGTCGCTCTGATCAAGGACCTGGGATGGGCACATTGTCTTCCCAACAAGGGCTTCCCCAGACAGAAACCCAGGCCCTGCCCGAACCGGGTCAGGACCTCCTCGCCTGGGCACTGCCCCTGGGCACAGGCAGCGGGGCATGCAAGCGGTTCCACGTCCTTCTGGGTGGGCCTTTTCTCCAAACGGGCTTAAATATAACGTGAAGGGGTTAAACTTACAAATGCTTGGGGTAGAATTGCACGTGTGGAAACCAGTGGAACAACCTGTATAGGGCATGTGGCTGGGGAAAAGTCAATTAAAACCCTCCCACAGTCCTGCTGGTGTGGCTCAGTGGTCGAGTGCCAACCTATGAACCAGGAGGTCCTGGTTCCATTTCCGGTCAGTCAGGGCACATGCCGGTTGCAGGCTCCATCCCAGTGTAGAGCATGTAGGAGGCAGCCGACCAATGATTCTCTCTCATCACTGATGTTTCTCTCTCTCTCCCTCTCCCTTCCTCTCTGAGATCAATAATAAAAATATATATATTTTTTTAAGAACCCACATATTTTGGTAATAATTATAAAATAAGCTTGTATTTGTTAAGTTTTCTAGGTGTTTTTTCTAAGAGATTTTATTTTATTTTTTTAACAGACTTTATGAATTACTGTTTCATCCTTACAGTAGTCATATGAGGCCAGATGACCCCACTTTACAGAAAAGGAGACAGAAGGGCCCTTACTGGTTTGTCTCAGTGGATAGAATGTCGGCCTGTGGACTGAAAGGTTCCAAGTTCAATTCTGGTCAAGGGCATGTACCTTGATTGTGGGTACATCCCCAGTAGGGAGTGTGCAGGAGACACCTGATCAGTATTTCTCTCTCATCAGTGTTTCTGATTTTCTATCCTTCTCCTTTCCTCTCTGAAAAAAAAATCAACTATATATATATATATATATATATATATATATATATATATATATATATATATTTTTTTTTTTTTTTTTTTTTTTTTTTTAAAGAAAAGGTGACAGAAGGATAAGGATTCTGTGAGCTGCATAGCTAGTAGGTGGTGGAACTGGGATTCAAACGCCATCTTGCTGTCTACAGCAGGCTTCCCTTGAGTGCTCACCTTAGAGTCTTAAAAGGCAAGATACAGAATCATATGGACACCCTGATGACAATGCGAACAGACAGGCACTGGTAAGAACAGAGCGGAAAGGAAGGAAGGTGACAGCGGTTGTGCCAGAGGGTGGATCAGTGGGGGTGCTGTAATTCTCTTTGTTTTCTAAACTAGGTTAATGTTATGCTTTTTGTAATAAAAACATTTAAAATATACACTGAGTGGCCAGATTATTATGATCTCTGCACGCATAATAACCTGGCCACTGATTCATATTAGAGGCCGATGCATGAATTCGTGCATGAGTGGGGTCCAGCCTGCCTGGCCAGGGGGAGGGGACATGGGCGTTTGGCCGGCTGCCTGCTGGTCAAAATCCTGGTTGAGAGGACAATTTGCACATGAGCGTTTTATTATATAGGATATACACCAAGTGGCCAGATTATTATGCGTCCAGAGATCATCATCATCTGGCCACTCCGTGCAGATTTGTATTCAACCTTTGGGCTACATTTGATGTTTCCCTGGGTGCTGCCAGGACTGCTCTCCTCCCTCCCGCTGCACTCATGCCTGGGAACATTCTTCTTTGCTTGGGCTTCGACTGCCACCCTTAAATGAATAAGGTTAGCGAGGGGCGCCACGCCGGGGTCTGAATGTGTGACTACGGACGGCCTGCCAGCTGTGCCTCCGGAAGCGCCGGGCTTCGGAGCAAGTGTGGGAAGCAGACCCGCACCATGAGTTCTTGCACACCCTCAGGTGGTGAGTGTGGAGGGGCCAGGCCCTGGGGGAGGGGGGTCAGTGAGAGAGGAGCTCAGAGAGGGAGGAGATCAATCTCAGATCCCAGGGGAAAGCCAGTGTGTGCGAGAGAAACAGTCCCGAGGCTTCTCAGAGCAAGGGCCCAGGGAGGGGCAAACCCAGGAGGACGTCACAGCTTAGGGAGGGCCTGCAAGGGGCTGGGAAAGGTGAATGCATTTATGATAGAGAGCGGAGGAGGCTTTCTTCCTTTCTTTCTTTCTTTCTTTCTTTCTTTCTTTCTTTCTTTTTTTAAATATATTTTATTGATTTTTCACAGAGATGAAGAGAGAGGGATAGAGAGTTAGAAACATTGATGAGAGAGAATCATCGATTAGCTGCCTCTTGCACACCCCCTACTGAGGATGTTCCTGCAACCAAGGTACATGCCCTTGACCAGAATCGAACCTGGGACCTTTCAGTCCGCAGGCCTACGCACTATCCACTGAGCCACACCGGTCCCGGCGGAGGAGACTTTCTAGGGAGAGGAAACAGCACGCATTCCAGCAAAACCAGCAGCAGAGCCCGTGGCACGCCCCAGGAGCTGGCAGGACACCGGAGGGAGCCCTGCAGGGGAGGGGAGGCCGAGAGGCGGGAGCCGCATATGCAGAGGAGTCTGAAAAGGGTGCCTTTCACGCCATGGGCAGCGAGGAGCTCTTTCGTTTCTCTGGGCGTCTGGGGAGTGGGGTGGCCGGAGCTGCACTGGAGGGGGACTAACGGCAGCAGCGGTCAATGCTAAGGGGAGACCCTGGAGGGTGGGAGGCCGCGGTCATCCCCGGGGCTCCCTCCTGAACACGGATGCAGTGAGCGGACACGAACAGAGCCTCCGCCATGGGGATTGGTGATCGCCTGGCTAGGTGTGTGGTGGGGACTTGGCAAGAGAAAGAACGACCAAGGAGCTCAGGCCTCTGTGGCCATTTGCTCGTTGATTCAACAAAGTTTATTTCACTCATTTATTTAAGAGATGAATTGTGCGTGCGGCCTGCTCTGTGCCTCCCACAGGGCCGGGACGTGGGGGTTCAGAGGAGAAGTCTGCGGTAAGACAGAGATTCTTACGCAGGAGAGCAGTGGTTCTCAACCTTCCTAATGCTGCGACCCTTTAATACAGCTCCTCATGTGAGGGTGACCCCCAATCATAAAAGTATTTTCGTTGCTACTTCATAGCTGTAATTTTGCTACTGTGATGAATCGTAATGTAAATGTCCCGACCCACAGGTTGAGAACCGCTGCTGTAGAGCCTGAGACCATCGGAAAACACGGGTATTTACACCCTCTGGCATTAGGAAGGTTGAGAATCATTGCAGGAGAGGGTGCTCGGTGTATCAAACCCCTTTATGCATCACTTCAGGTGCCCTCAGCCTCACCTGTCTCTGCGCCAGCGGCCTGTGGGTGTGGACCAACTGCCCCCGGCGCACCTGACCCCCTCAGGCTTTCCCTACTGGCTCAGGAGTGGGACTCTGCTTAGCACCTAGAGGCGTGGCATAGTCACTGCAGCACTGGCCAGTGGGAGACTGAGGCCCTTCCTCCACCCGATCCCACTACCCTGGGGGCCTAAGACCCGGTTATAGGGCTTCTCCGGGAGCAGCCCTTTGCAGCCTCAGCTGGCAGGGCCTAGATGGCTAACACCCTCCCATAACTCCTCCTCCTCCTCTCCTACGAGATCTGAGCTCTGCCCGCTTCCCTGCCTCTCTCCCCTTGTCCCCACTCTGGCCTCTGAAACTGACACCCTAAGAAAATATTAGCACACCAGCCTCTGCCTGGCGCTGCTTCCGGAAGAATCCAGGCTGAGCCACTGACTCCTATTGGACGTCTAGCCGTCCTCACGCTGCTCTGGACTGTATGGCTTTCAGACCCAGCCCAGAGAACAGAGGCTGGCAGCGATCCTGTACTTCCGGAACAAGGGTGGGTGTGCAGGTCAAAACCCCTGCCATTTGGTACTTCTGTTCGGCATTGATGGCGATTCCCAGTGTTCCTCGTGTGTTCGCCTGGATAGATCTTTACCTCCGAGGCCCTGCACCTCACAGAAAACGCTGGAAAATACCGGCCAAGTTGCACTGAAGTTGTTCTTTTATTTCTCTGGATTCCGCGTTGGCTCCCACTGCCTCACTTTATCTACAATACAAACCAGTTTCCAGTGGGCATTTCCTTCCTGTCCTTGGGCTGCTGGCGGTGGGGCAGCCGGGCCGATGGAAACTTCACTGAGCGTGCGGGTGACCGGCCCCCACAGGCCCTGTGTGATCGCAGCGGCTTTCCAGGGGGGCTCCCTGCCCCCAGCAGTTCTGCCTGAACAGCACCCCCTGCCCCAGCTCTGCTCACATTTCCAGTGGGAAAGGGAGCTAATGTGTAGAAAGAAATTATCCCCACTCCCCAGTTACCCAAGGCCTTCACTGTCCCTAACTTGTCTCTCTTCTTCCCCATCCCTAAAATAGTTTCAAGATTTGGGGAAAATAAAAAATTAGTACACACACACACACACACACACATGCATATACGTGTTGGGTCCTATGTTAGCATGTGTGGTGGCGCTCCCCTGCTTTAGCATTCATAGCCCACAGGGCTCTCTGGGAGAGGGAGGCAGGCTGAGGGCCGCTGGGGCCTCCTGTGTGGGGCTGGGGCAGAGGAGGCGGTGGAGTGTGGAGGTCAGGCTAGGAAGGCACTTGAGCTGATCGGAGGCAGTGGAGGCGTTTCTGATGGCCAGGCTGGAGCTGTCAGGGGGTGAGGGGGTAGAGCTGCTCAGGGGGCAGCTCAGCCTTGAGAGAGAGAGAGACACCTCTGGCTTCTCAAACACGAGCCCTTTCTGTTTCCTTTTCCCGGCACCCACTTAGACGCTGCCATCCCAAGCCCTCTGCTCCTTCCCTCCCACACCTCCCCTCCACCCGGCACAGCACTGGGCCACGGGCAGCTGGGTTCATACACATGTAATTGTCTTCCCAGCTGGACCCTGGCCCATCGCAGAGCACATCGCACATTCCTTTTCTGTCTCTCTCCAGCCCTAGCATATGAATCAGCACATTAAATTTACTCATATTTTCCAGGAAACTGAGCTTGGAGAATCCGGGGTTCTCAGTGCTGAGCACTCGTCCAGCCTGACCTCCGAAATGTTGCCATGACCTTCCCCTGCCCACTCCCACCCCTGCCTGCCAGTGGCCACCCAGCTCCTCCCAAGTGGCAAAGCGGTTGGGTGCAGTCATCCGGGTCCCACAGGCTGGAGCTCAGAGCCCAGCTTCCTCCTAACATAACCTCTGTGAAATGGTATAACACAGTGGTCGGCAAACTCATTAGTCAACAGAGCCAAATATCAAGAGTACACGATTGAAATTTCTTTTGAGAGCCAAATTTTTTAAACTTAAACTGTATAGGTAAGTACATTGTTATTAACTTAATTAGGGTACTCCTAAGCTGGCCTTTGCTAAAAACTCAAGGGGCCAAAGAGCCGCATGTGGCTCGAGAGCCGCAGTTTGCCGACCACTGGTATAATAGGATCTAACGAGTGCTGTGAAGAGAAATTGAGCAAACAATATCTAGTATCAAGTGATTACTTAGTAAATGTTAACTATTATTATGCCATTTCCCAAAACAGCCCAACCTGTCTGCAGATAGTTCTGTTAGAAACTTCTTAACCTTCTTTCAGTTGAAATCTTTATTCCTTGAGTTGCCCAAAGTCACTTGTATGAGTTGCCCAAAGTTACTCAGTGAGTTAGAGCTGGCGGCAGACTTGGGTCCAAAACCCAGATTTCTCCACAGGCCAAACTGTCTCTGAAATACAAATGAAAAGGAAGCCAATCGGCCACAATGAATGGCTGTTATCATTTTCCCCATTTTAGAAGCTGAGA